CATTGCCGTCGCTGTTATTGCAATAATAGTTGTTATCACTGTTGCATTGTCTGCTTATCGGCAAATGAATATTATTATAAACGCTTGTGTTTGAGTGGCGTGCTTGTACCCTGGTACCCTTATGAAATACCTTACAGGCCATCACGTATGTATACATACACAGTATGTGCGTGTTTGTGAATGCAGATGTTTGGGGCTGGTATCACGTGCATTTATTTAGCTTATTCATATTACGTGCCATTTATTTTGCTGATAGAGATTGCGCCAAGTAGCGTAGTATTTTGCGAGCGTTATTAAGAGAGAAATTATATATAATATACATACAAACATACATGTATATATGTATGCATTGACGAGTCAGCCATTTCATTTCTTGCAAAGACCAATAAACAAAATGCAAAAGAAATTGAAATATCAAAAATTAATCAAGATTTAGCGTTAATGAAATAAATACTTAAATAAACTTTTGAAACTTATTTTTATGTATAATGTGATATAAATCTGTAAAGTAAGCATGTATACAAACATACAAGTAAATGCAAGCCAAATTTCACATGCGACTCCCCTGGTGCATCAAGTGGATTACTGTGATCTTTCCTTTTCCTTTTATTTTTTTCTTGGTTTTTTTTTTTTAAATAAAATAAAAGCTAAAATAGCGGAACTCATTGTTAACTTTAGTAGACTTCATTCAGCATTTCAAATTTATAAACCACTTCCTAATTTATTAATTTGCAAATTTTGTGACATTAGTAAACAGCTGATTCGAATATTGGTTTTGCATATGTTCGAAAAGACGCAAACCCAATCAGATTCTGTGACACCATTCAAAATCAGAATTGGTTTGCAATTCTGACAACTACGCAAATCTGTCTTGGATTCCACAACACACCTGAATATTTGTATGCACGTCCTGTCAATTACTATAAAATTACAAACTTGTAACCTTTTTTGAATCCATGTACTTTCTTTAATCACTAAGATTATTGGGCCTACCCCCTGTTCCCGAAATTTGTTTTGAACTTTTGTGCATATTTTTTTTTTAATTTCCGTAACTCACTCATCAACTTATAGATTTCGACAATTACTCTCGACTTTACGTTTTCAATGATTTCGAAATTAGCGCCATCTATTAGCCACGGAACGTATTTTATCGAGTCGGTAAGCGAGTTCAATTTCATCGAAAATTTTGTTTCGATACGGCTCCAATGATTTGAACTATTTTGTTCCGATCGAATCAGCAATATTTTCGATCAAACGGATTCAATATTTAGACCCAAGATGTTTTATCCAATATTTAATAAGAACAGAATTTTAATGATTTAATAACGTTATATTTATTATTTATTTTTGAGTCAACTGATTTCTACCGCCTATTTATTTACTCTTTTTAAATCTTGATAACATTTAACACTTGAGCTGTAGGCCTCATAATCCATGTTTGACACAAATATAATATTAGCATTTTTCGATATATAAAATATAGATGAAGAAATGTATGGTTTTCTGCATAGCTATCGGTGTAATTTGCTTAAGTGCAGAAGAACTATGGCCAAAGCGTTATATTATTATGTAATCTTCAGAATATTAAATCTCTATTGTTTTATTATAAATGTACTCCAATTGTAATATTCAGCATTAAAACGTTTCTTGAAATCACTTTATGAATAAATATAAATCTAACAATTTTTATTTAAAAATAACTAAGCTCAATCAAACAATAATTAACACTAAGGCTAATGGGTTTTCATTCTGGTAAAAAAAAAACATGCCATTTGGGCATTACTGAGATGCAAAATAAACACGACGTTTTAGAGGAATAACTGAACAATTACTTATACATTACAGTTTAGCGTACTTATATTTACTTAAACGGTCTAAAATATTACTTTATATTATTTTACCTTGTTACATATTCAATTATTAATAATAATTTGGGTTATAATATACAGGAGACATTTTGATGCAATTTCATTCTGGACAGGATGCAACATACCCAATTAAATAAATAAATCGATAAAAAGGCAGTCAATATTTCAAATCTCAAATGCTTTATACATAAGTAAGAAAAAATAGCGGTTAAAATTATATATTCCTTTTTTAATGTGTTTAATATTTTTTCCAGTTATTCTCATTTTCATCAAAATGCCTTTCAGGAAATTATAGCAAAAGTAGCTGTAGCTGCTTTTTTAGTTCTCTCTAGGTTTGGTAAAAAAATATACGTATGTTTAAAACATATGCTATTTATGCTTCGATAAGAGACCTAAAAATTTATTATTTATAATATAAATAATGTTTTAATATGCAATTATATGTACAAGAGTTTATTTCAAACTTTTTATCCGGCAGAATTAAGACGAGCCTTCTATTGCTTGCTATGTTCGTAGATATATATATATCGAAACATTTTTGGCAATTTTTAATGTCTTCCTTATTTACAACAGATTTATTCACTTGAAACAAATGACTATTGCGTAAAACACAACGTGTCGCATGATGCTTTAATGACACCTTTACAACTCCTATTAGTAATTTATTTTATAACCTATTCGCATGATAACTTACCTAATGAAATACATTTACCATTTCTAAACTTTTTATAGCGATGTTTTGTTCATTTAAATATTTAAAAATAATTAGATGATAATGGTGGCTTCTCTATTAACAGTTTTTACAAAAACTTTCCACTCCTTTGAATCAGTCTCGCAACTCAACCCATTTAGCTAGATTTCTAGCTTCAAGTTCCCTGTTTATGAAAATAATATTCTGAAATGAAAGAAATAATATTTCAATCTTAATAATATTAAACAGGTTAATATGAATAAAACTGTATATTTTATATATAATATTATAGTTGGAATCGGAGCTCAGATATTCATTTACACGAGCTGACTTTTTTTTATACTTGGGTTTAATCATTTAATGACTTCTCCTAATTTTAATAGACAATACAATATATAAATTAACTTAATTTCTTTTCACAATAATGAACAAAATAACAATATACTTACACCTGGACCTAAGTAAGCATACAAGTAAATTTCCGGTATATTCTGGCTATTGTACCCCGCTACCTGTGCTTGTAATACTATGCCTCTTGTTAGCTGACACAATACATCTACAGCTTCTGATGACCACATGGAGTCTAGACAAAAAATAGTGCGATACACATTATTTAAAATCATAATATAAATAAAAATGTATATAAACACTCGGCAAACAAAACCCCACGCACTTTACAGAGTGGCTATATATAGCGCAAAACTTAGGTTCATGTTATCTTAAGGTAGACAGTTTTTTTTGAAAATCAACCCGTTTTATTCACTTCATGTTTAAAACATTTTTATATAATAAACTTATAGTTTAACACTTGTTTTAGTGAAAAATGCAAGCATACACATATAACAAGCCACAGAACTAAAATTTGTTATGAATAATAACATAAACAAGTTAGTTAAACAACATATATTACGTTTTTTATGTTCTGTATGTCACAATGAAATACATAAAAAAGCAAAAAAAAAAAAAACAAAAAAATCTTAGTATTTTGTGAAGCACCCCCTCCTTCTTCCTTCCTCTTTCCACACAACTTCAATTATTTTTTTTTAATTTTTTTTAGACTTTTTGGACACTTTTCTCTTATCCTTTTGCCCATTGCAAGGAGTTCTCGATTGGATTGAGATCTAGACTGTTACCTGGGCACGTGAAAGATTTAATTCCATAAAAATATTTTTGATTTGTAAGTGTTTGTAATGAATTATTTAAAAATCTATTTCAATGTTTTATGCTTTAGCTACCGTTTTGGCTCTATGGCAAGGGTATGAATCATTCTGAAAATAAACTTTTTAAGTGTGTTCGAACAGCTGTTCAATAGTTGGCAAAACGGATTCTTTCAAAATTTCAATACACTTTTCGGCATTCACAGATTCTTTAAGTATAATAACCTGCCCAACACCACACTTGGTAATAGCCCCTATATCATTAAATAAGGCGAATGCTTTACGGTGGGTAAAACACAGTTTTTTTTCACTTTTACGATTTAAAGAATTAAAATTCGTATAATTTTTAATAACATTGCGCACACTCCAATCACTTATGTACTGTTAGCGTCAAAAGAAAGTGTACACCATTTTCTCATACATTTCAGTCTTTATCTCAGTATAAAAATATGTAAAAATTTTCAAATAAATTATCGTTTATGAATGATTAAATATTGTTCTTACAAAAAATTAACAGCAATCCAAAAAAAATCCATAAATACAAAAACAATACGAACAAAATCAAATATTCTCAGTATTTCACGCGTCAAAACAAAGTGTACAGTTACGGTAATAGGCCTCGCATACTTATTTTACGCAAAAAAATATATCGTTATCCATAGTTCTTTCTTTGTAATTGCTTCATTCTAATATTATTTAGTATCCTTGTGTAGATAGAATTTTATTTGCGTTTAGAAATTTGCCAAGAGGACATCAATTTGACAATGGGTAAGCAAACTTCATTGAATGTAAGAAAATTAGTGATCTATTTTAGGAAAGACGGAAAATTTTTCCGCGAAATTGCTTCGATAATTGGAAGAAGCCATAACACAGTGAAAAAAATTATTGATAAGCAAAAAAAGTTTGGAGAATTAGAAGATCCGACACGTTCGGGTAGGCCAAAGCGGCTCAGTGATACAGAAATGCGATCAGTTGTG